TACAATTAACCTCCCTGTGGTTCGACCCCGGTCTTGCCGGGTTATTTATTACTTCGACACTCCTGCACTTGGAAGAAGACATCAATCTTTTAGTCGTGTCATTTATGTTTTTATCTTGTTTATTTATGTTTCTCTCTTTCATTATGTTTAATTAAGTTTATTATCATACACCACATTACCAAACACACATTAAGCCTAAAAGAAAACCATTTTGAACTATTAATTGTATGGTGTTTAATTTGAGGTTGGTCGACATATATTGTGGTCGGTCGTTAGAACCATCAAAATATCATTCTGACTTAATTATCACAAACAAAATAAATTTATAGTATCATCATGAAAATCTGGTCGAACCCAAGAAGAATTTTGTTTAATCATCCTACAATGTACTGAAATTAGAAAGAACAAGGGATTTGAATGAAAAATTCAAGAAACAATAATTCTAGAAATAATAAATTGACATGTTGTTAAATCAATTTAAGGGTCCACATATCCATTCCTAGAAATTTATTAATTATCAAAGTAAAATAAACATTCTTTTACGTCAAGCAAATAAATATAATATTTCTTAAAGCTGGGAAAAATCGATGAGATTACGAATATATTAATTAGGAAAAACTCTCTAATCAATTTTTTATCATCAAACGAATATAATATTGAAAGTAATTTTCATTCATTCGGTAGTAATCTTAGAAATAAAGTCTGTGTATTTATTCTAAGTAAAAATTCAAAAGCTTAACAATTTAAGTTAGTTTATTCTTCTATGAAAGTTACAACAATTAAATTAATTCCTTTGCTTCTTATTATAGTCCTTAACAACAATTACGAATTGAAATAAACTAGAAAGTATACATGTCATAATAAAACAATTCAATAAGTTTGAATAACAATTAATAACATAATTGTGAACAAGGAAAAATAATTACTTGAATCTAAAAGAATTACAATGATAACATTACTTCTCACAACTTGTTAATAGAGATGGTGTGTAGTTTTCTTGAACCGAATTTAGGAGTTTAGTTCATAGTTTCTAAAATATTGACATAAGTAGAGAAGAAATGAATGTTTTTTCGAACCTATTTTAGCTGCGTTCTACTCTATTTATCCTCCTCCTTCGCTGCCAAATTTCTTAAGGATTATTAGGCTAACTAGAAGTCTTTATTATATTAAATTTGTTTCGTTTTTATCTTGGCTTTAAAGTTGGATAAATTTCTTATAATTTATGTTGAATAGACTCTATTGCTATCATAACTTTGTTGTAATTCCAAGTCTACTGCAAACTTAGACTTTGTTTTTTACTTGATTTTTTGCTATATCCTATCATCTTAGATGTATTCATTTATTCATAGCATGCTAGAGGCTTGATCTGTATCTTTTTTGGGTTCTAAAGTCCACCATTTTTATATCTAACTTTTAGTCGTAATGGGATGCTCGACACCATCATTTTCCTGATCAAATCAAGAGACCTATCTCGTCCTTCAGATTATGTCCGGAGTTTGACCTTTAAAAATATTTAATCTAACTTAAAGTTCTTCATGAAAGTTGTAGTCCTTGATGTGTAAATGAATTTAAGCTTTTGAATTACTTCATTTCAATATTGAAAGCTTAAAATATTCTCATTTGAATATTTAGTGTGAAAGAAAAGCATTCTGTTGCAAGTAACATTTTAACTCAAGTTTGAAGGTCTGATTAAAAATCCAAATAATATCAATTTTTCTTTCATAATACTTTTCTAGAAAACTTGACATGTGTACTTCAATTTAGATTAGACCCATGTTCTCATTCGGGAACTCTAACTTAGCAGAAAACATATAATAAAAAACTAAGTTCAAAACATAAATCGCAGAATTTTTTATCTTTAACAATTACTTCACAAAGTCTATTAAACATACCAAACTTATAAAAATAATTTTTAATAACCTCAAATAAATTTAAAATACATTAAAAAGCAGGAGTATATATATTACACTTATCAGATTCCCCCCACGGTTAGAAAATAACAAACCAATGTTAGTTTTATTTGTTAACGAATGCTGAAGTTTTGCTTTATCACAATTCTTTATTTTTATGTTTTTTGAAATTTGTTGTATCACAATAGCGACGGATTGCCACCTATTGTCTCTTTGGTAATGACATTTTAGACTTCCAAGGGATACAGCGTGAAAATGTTATTATAAGTTACCAAAATACCAAAATAATAGGAAATAATAGAATATTCATTTAGAAAATATGCGATACGTTAAGTGAGGCATATATATAGAGAGAGAGAGATCTCCCCAAGGCATACAATTTTTTTGGGACTTTTTTTTAAATTGAATTATTTCAATTTTATCTTTTATTACTTGATTTATTAAAAATTACTTTTAGTATTATTTTTTTTTTATTAGGTTATTCTCATATCTCTTTTTTTTTACAATTTTATTTTCTATGGGTTTTTTCTATTAAATTTTATATTTATTTTTTTACTCTTATCTTTTTTCCTTTGAAAAATTTTCTAAATAGATTTATTTTTCATGGTTTTATGATTTTCATGGTCACAGGTATGGTTAACCTGAATTGACTTATGTTTTTTTTTAAATAAATTTATTTTTTCTCTTTTAACATTAAGTTGTTCAATAAATGAGCTATTATTCAGCTCGTTTATGAACACATTCACCCTGGTATTATGGTTGAGTTAGAAATTTTGTATATTTATTTAGATAGGCTCAGATTAGATTTTTTTTATCTTTTTTAAAATATATTTTTTTTTTAATTTTTATTTTTTAATATTTTATTTGTTAAAGATTGAGTTTCATAATTTTTTTTTAAATTATTATATTCTCATTTAAATTTATTAGAAATTGATGTTTGAATTATATTTTTCCGATGCTTTTTTTTAACAAGATTATTCTAATTATATCTCCATAATTACAAAGTTTTCTTGTAAATCTAGTTTAACTAAGTTTTTTTTTGTTTTTTAATTTTTTTTTTAATTTGTTTTATAATCCATGTTAGACTTGTTTTTTGAACGGTTTTTGTTGTTATTTTTATTAGTTTATTTATTTATTTATTTATTTTTTTATTCATATTATTTAAATGGTCAATTAAATTCGGGTCTCAAATATTTTTTTTAATATTTTTTATGTTGAAAAAAAATGCAGGTCCAGCTCACAGTGAGGCAGCAGAATAATCTGACTTGAGCATATCTGTTTTGCACCCACTATGGGCTAAAATTGAATCTGCTCAAATTAATGCAATTTGTCATTTTGAAACTTTTGTCATAAATCCTGTTTCTTCACTTCTAAATTTGAAACTTTTCAAGTCGCAACGGTACTTCTTTCCTAAAGAGCCCTAAATTGCACCGTTGCAAACTCATATGTGCACTCGTACTTTCTTCACGTCTATAAAATCCAATCTCCAAATTCTTGAAGATGTCCCTTCTCTCTCTCTCTCTCTCTCTCTCTCTCTCTCTCAACTGGGATTGTACCTTTTGTCATAAATCCTGTTTCTTCAACCTTTTCTCTTTTGTCAAACAAGAGGGGCTCTTTTTTCAGTACTACGGAGCCGACTGACCTATGGAGAACATACTCGATTCAGTGGAGAATATGCAAGAAACGCCTTTTAAGAGTCTAATGCAATCCAAACCCACCATGTTGGATTGCATAACACCAGCAAAGGAAGATCAAGAGATGGATCAAGAATCTGAGAATATGCAAGAAAAGCCTTTTAAGAGTTTAATGCAATCCAAACCCGCCATGTTGGATTACATAACGCCAGCAAAGGAAGATCAAGAGATGGATCGAGAATCTGAGAACTCAGGCAATGATTTGCGCAAAAGTAGCGCTCCATATCGTCTCCAAGTTCCCAAGGCATTCAAGTTCCCTGAAAGGTATAGAAGCCCAACTGATCTTATGATCTCACCCATTACAAAAGGCCTTCTTGCAAGAAACAGAAAGGATGGTGCTCTCTTGCCACCAAGTTTGAATCAGCCCAAGGTTTGACCAAATTCCTTAATTGGTTTCTTGATTAGATTTTTAATCAGGGGATAATATAAACTTTGTGATAATAGATACCAATTCTTAGTGTAGGAAATTCTTTTATTTTCTGTTCCATAAAGTTGTGTTTTCTTCGTATTTTTTATTTTGTGGGTGCATGAATTAAATCTTTTATTTTGTCATCGTAGCAGGTTCAAGATGTAGAAGTTCAGGGTGAGGTGGCGGCTTTCAAAATTGAGATATAAATGTTGGCAGACAAAAAGCTAAATCAGATAGATGGATTGGTTTCTTGTAATCAGATGGGTTCTTGAACTTCATGAATTCGTCTGGATAAATAGTCTTGTTTTCCTGTCACCATAATATTTCATGAGATGAGATGTGTAGTCATGGAAAAGAAACCATCGTGCCCTTCCCATTTCAGAGAATTATTAAATAGGCAAGATGAGGTTCGATTCAAGATGACTTGCTTCTTTTAGGAAAGTAAAAAAGACGTTCTGAAACATAGATTCTTCTCTCTGTATGTAAAACAGCTTGGCAGAGGAATTTTCACAGCCAAAGAAAACATCAATTGCAGCACAGCAAGGAAGATTAAGTGACAAGCCAGCATCCTATATATTGTCCACCAAGATAACAAAATACTAGAGTTAGCCAGCTTTAATTTTACAGTTTCAGAAGGAATTCTAACATAATAAAAAAAATCATACATGGAAGCGGTTTTTCGTAAGAATCTAGGCCTGGTTTGAGCTAGCGAAAATCGTATTTTGAGCTCTTCTCTCACTCCAAACGAACTTCATACCATTGGACTGAACCAACATCTCCATCAATTTCAAGTTCACAAACAGAACTTACCAGGAAAGAAGCAGCATCATCGACGGTTTCAAATTTTGCTAGGTCTAGCGGCAAGGTCGGTCTTGGCCAATTCTCAAGATAGCCTTTAAGTACAGCCTTTAATTCTTCTTCAGAAACAAATTTCTCATCTTCTCCAGGTTCTAATAGGACATAAGTTCCCGTTTTCTGATGTATCCTTCTCCTCCTCACCCCAAAAACCTGACTCAAATAACAAAGTCAGTGAATCAAAAAACAGGCTTGCACCTATGCTAAATGTATGTTGGTGGTAGGCAGCATAACAAAAGGCTGGTGGCCCATGCTAACTGCAGCCGCAACTACACGAAATTCAAGGACAGTTTGCTAGAACATCATGTCCTAGTTTCCATTTGGTTAAGATGGTAACAAAGTCAATAAAGGAAAAATATAAGCGCAACTTATTTTGTTGCTAAAGATTTTCATTAGTACTCAACAAACTCGGTGCTCAAGAAAAAGGAGAAGTACTTGAGCAGGAAGAAGAAGAAGAAGAAGAAAACAAGATTAGATCTCCCGCAGAAAATCAACCAGATGCAATGATCAAAAGGCTTGTCATTTAAGACCAAGTCATGATTAGTAAAAAGATTAGCATTGGATGCAGAAAGCATGGTCAAAAGAGAACAACGGTTACCTTCACAGAATTGCCACGTCGGTTCACCAAATTGGGGAGTTTGAGATGGATAGAAGAACTGTCAGCAATGTCTGCTGAACTCGCTTGGACAAATGGTGCAGAACTTCTCTTTCTCGTTATATTGTCACCTACAATTAATCAGAATGGATGAAACTGCCAGTAATTTGTCAGAGCAATTTCTGTTTACATTGCGACTTGTTTCAGTACTGTGATTGAAAAGTTCTGTATGCTTGGCTGCTATATTTGAACAAAACATAGACCGGAAGTCTTTAATGCCAACGTACGTAGGCTTTGCCTTAACCATAAATTTCAAGTTATACATGCCATCAAATCAAACTGGTTAAGAAATCCAGATCAAAAGGAGACCAAACGGAATTTAAGACAGAAGGAGAGATCAAAGTAATGGGCGATTGATTCACAGGGAATCAAGCGGTGCGCCTCTTGGACCAAGGTGGTGAAGATGTTAAAGGCAGCCTCATTAGCCATCATCGAGCTACACGAGAGTCAAGGCGCGTACAACTACGACGCAACTGAAGGAGTAGATGGTAGAGGTGGATATGAGCCAAGGCGATTGGGAGCTTGGTTGCATGATCATGCAAGAATGCCCTGATGGCAACGTTGATTTACATGCTCTTTTTCCTATTTTGATTACATTATTTAGAGATGCAAGGTCGGATAAACTATATCAAAAAGCATCAAGTGATGGCTGTGAGTGGCAAACAGTGTTCTCTTCACCTAATTTCTCCTGTATAATTCAACCTAATACAAGGAAAAGCGTAGATCAATTATTATTTAATATAGCTTCCTGCTCCATGATGAAACACAAAATCTCCTTCTCGTGGTACTCAGGAATCAACAATATGCAGTCCAAGTTTCAGAATCGAACAAACATTTTACAGATTTCAATGATTACACAGACCTCATGAGCTCATATTAGAGATAGTGAGATGATTGGCAGGCATGGAGGGTTGAACTAGCAATCAAACAGAACCCAACTCAGTAAAATCCTCGAACATTGCTTATAATCAAGTACATGTACAGTGATTATACAAGCATGAAGAACCATGTGAAGCAAAGCCAGAAATACCAATGATTGTCTTCCATATAAACAAAACAAACTCCTAACATGTTTAATCACAATTAAAGGCTCAGGTAGCTAGCATATGAATGAAGTTGCAGTTTGAGAAGAAAGGAGAGTAGAGCTTACGGTTAAGACTGTCAACTTTAGTGATCAGTAGCTGCTTGTGGAAGGCTATCTCCATTGACAAAGCACTGCCCGGCACTCTCAGCATTATTTTTTTTGTCCCCTGATAATAAGAGATTGTCAGGTTGTGGAGATGACATGCTAAATTGAACCTCTACTTCCCTATGTTACCTTATCCTCGACTTTTCATGATATTTACGTAAGTACCCTCTCTCTATACATTTATTTATTTGTGTGAAATTGTCAATTTGAACATTAGAGGGCATTAAAGGGGTGTTTGATTGGGGTAAAATTGAGTAACATGTAAGTTAAATATTTGTAAGTAATTAACAATCACATTAAAATTCATATATATTCTATATGATTAAAAAAAATGACATATAAAAATAAAAATAAAAATAAAAATATCAACTATTATACTTTATTATTCATCATTATACATAGTTTAATTTAAATAGATAAAGGATGTAGTATTAAAATTATTCTTGTGTTTCTAGCATGTAAATATTATCCTTCTCCAAGCAATATTATTTTTCTTTCTTCTCTTACTTTTTTTTTCCTCTGAAAATCACATCAAATTATTTTTTAATTATCTTTTAATAATCATTAATTACTCTTTTTACTAATATTTAACCTCTCAATTTATGAATACACTAAACATTTTTAAAAATTATTTTTATCATAATAACTCATGCATGTAACAATTCACTTCTATGTTTTTTAATCTTTTACTAAACAATCAAGAATCAGTACTTCCTTACCAATGATCATAAATCATGGGCTGCAGCTGACTTCTCAAGTTTTACACACACACACTTATGCTGATTAACAAGAAATATGCTCGTGAATGTATTTCTTAGTACATGTTTTTCACCTTTATTATCATGAAAATATGTTGTAATTATTATTATCATTATTTTTTTATTATTTTTTTAAATTATTAATTAACAAACATGTTAAAAAAAATTTCATGTAAAATATTTTACGTGTTCATTCATAAAATATTTAACGTAGAATAAAATATTACTCTCTAATTATTAAAATAAAATTATGTTTTCCATCAATTATCAATATGAATAATTAAGTTTTAATATCACAAAAAATAAAATATAAAATAAAATTTTAAATGATGAAAAGGTGTTTTTTATTTCATCATATGAAATATCTCTTAATAAGCTTGTACATCAATAAAAATTAAATCTCCTTCGTGAACAATACTAAGAACAAACACACCCATATCAATATTTATATAGAAATTTAATAAATTTGCAAAGACAATACAAAATAATAAAGGCAGAAAAAGGTTGTCAAGTACAAGTTGTAATAACTAGGTTCTGATTTCCCGCATATACAGTTAGTTAGAGCCTCCAAGTACACGTCGTAATAACGAACTAGCCAGTTGAAAATGACAACTAATTAGTTAATAAATAAATAAATAAAACAAAAGACACCTGAATGTCAGTTAAGCACCTGTAATTACTACAGAACAACACCGAGATTTTCTCTCAGCCTTCCTTTTTGTCCTTTCCAACACGTAAACCCCAGGCCTCCCTCTCGTGTCCCTGTATCAATTCTGTCTTCCTTTTCTTCATTAATTAAATTCACCCTGAATTCCTTTTATTTTTTTTATTTTTTTATTTTTTTTGGGGGGGGGGGGTACGAATTTGTATAGCCAGAGCTTTTGGGGGTTAATTTTGGTTCACATTCTTCGAGACATTGAGAAGGGCTTGCATTCAACATTGTGATCGATAGATTCAAGTTAGTTTTTTTTCCCTCTTTGAGTTTGATGCATATATTTGTATTTGTTAATTTGGGTTTTTTTCAACGATTTTTTGTACAGAATCTAGTTGTCCAAAATGAAAAGAAAAGGAAATTGTATATGCTCCAGATTATTTGCACTGAAAGCAGCATTTTTTCAAGTTTCAGAAAAAAGAAAGAAAGATCTCTTTTTCTTCTGTGGTTGACAAAGCTAAAACTGACAACTATTTAGAGTGATTAAGAATTTGCGTGTTGTTGATGCTGCAAAGTTTTTCTAGGACATTCATTAGATAAAGATGGCCCGTTTACTGTTTTGTGTAAAAGTTCATAGGATTCTACTGACTTTCTCCGTGCCTTGGGTAATATGGCCCTTTCCTTCTATTATACTGGCTGATTATGCAACACAAAGCGACTTGTTTTGGGACATTCATTCTGTAAAATGTGCTAGATATGCTGTAAATTTGATATAGATGTTTCCCTTCTCGATTTGCAGCTTGAATTCCTATTCCAAGGCAGCACAGGGAGCTTAATTTCAATAAGTTGGGTGGAACTAGCAAGCGTTTAATAGATTCTGAGGGAAGTAGCAACCATTTAGAAAGTTACGAGGTTATGGCTGACGAAAATGCTATTCCTGCTCTCAAAAGTTCAAGTTCTTCCGCATCATCAGAATCTTCAGCAAGATCTGGTGGGGTCGAGAAGGATGATCCTGCCAATCCCTTTATCGAACCAAACCAAGCAGATGTTGAATCATCACGAGGACCCTTATTTCCAGCAGAAGTTTCCAGCCACAATCTGGTTATTAGCACACCGCTATTGCCCCCGCCATCGCCTCAAAGTAATGTGACGCCAGGCTATGATCCAAATCGGCTCTCATCATCCATTTTTGCCAAGCCTAGTAATCCTGCCGAGTGGAGCGGCACTTCGAATGAATCGTTGTTCAGCATTTACATGGGAAATTGTAGCTTCTCAAGAGATAATGCTTTCATGTTGTATAAATCTGGAGAACTTCCCAAGTTTGAAGAGACAAGCAATGCTTCACCCAGCTTGAGTCCTGTCATTGAAGTAGAGAGCAATGATAGAAAGAATAAAAATATATCGATAGCAACAGAAGTGAAAGAAAAAGAATCGTCTGATTCTGAAGAAATGGAACCTAAATCAACAGCTGATCTCAATACCAAAAAGGAGGTTCTGGTTGTAACAGAGAAAATTAGCTGTCAGGAAAAGATGCCTCCTGTCGAGGAGGTTCAAGTCTCCTTCTCCAGTAGTAACAGATCATTTCAATTCCCACTGTAAGTTACCTGACAGTGTATCCATGCAGAATAAAATGGTTTTTGTTTCCAGCATCCGTCGATGCTGGAATGAGTACCCAAACCAAAATGCTTCCATCTCACCTTTCTGTCCTTGCTTTTCCACTTTGATTTTTGATTTTGCGCAAGAAACTGAACTTATAAGAAACGTTATTTTTTAAAAACATATATTTGGGACTCTGGATTTCTTAGTTCTGCTAAGTACTAAGTCTGCCCATGTTTGCCTGTCCTGTGTTGGCTAAATACCTGAAGCTAATGTTTAACTTCATTTCAGATTGGATGCTACTTCAGAAAGGACAACTTCTTTCCATGAGGTGACAGGGAAGCATCCCTCGGAGAAGCACTCGCAACAGGAGCCACCAAAGCCTGCAGAAACCACCCCTGGAACAAACCCTAAGGCTGCAGGAAATAGTTGGTTTTCTTGCTTCTCCTGCTGCTCACTTGGATGTTAAAAGAGAATTCTTCATAGCGATTTTAACACCAACCTCTGTACATCTCCCTCTTCATCGAAAATTCCTGCCCTGTCCATCGGATCTAAATATGAACCATGTTTTCTGCAATTGTTGTTTCTTGTATTGGTGATTCTTCTTCCAATGCAAAACCTTAGAGCTTATACAGTTAAGGTATAGAAATCACCATCAAAACTAATTAAGTTGTAGAACCTATAGTCTTCATTCAATCCTGTGGGAGAAGTTTGGCTTTCGGATTTTGAAAAAGGAAGTCAACGTACGAATCATGTACAAAGATCTATTGATTTAGAAATTCCAGAGGGAAAATCATAGGATGGATTCTTACATTAGATTCTTCATTCTTGATAACTATTTTATCTTGACATCATTTCTTAGTTTGTTTCTCTTTTTTATTGAGAATACTAGTGCCAGTCTTAATAAATTAAAAAATACGAGTGTTTTGTATTTCTTACTTTGATCTCTAGTTAATCCAAAATTAGCTTAGCTATCAAATCTGTAGCAGCATCCCCTTCTCTACATGCATGCAGCGCTTTGACTGTCCATTCTCTATACAGTAATTCCTGAGCCTTGGTGACCATAGCATAACTGGCATCTCCTGCTTCGTGATAAGATTCACCACCAGAAGACGAATTCCAAGCGATAAAGGCAGCTCCAAACCTATGATGACTGCCCGGAGTTCCGCTCTTACAGAAGAATAAACTCCAGTATTTATAGCAAAACCCTGAACCCAGGAGTCCATGCTATCTCTGATAAGACCCCCAGCTTCTGCATGCTCCCCCTGGATTACCTGTGCTACAACCATACGTTCAACCATCTCATGACACTTGCATCTCCTGCCAATCCTGTGCTTTCAATAGTACTAATTAGCCATGCTCTTGATCGCCTCTACTGGATTGCTACACGCCATGTCCGCCGCCTCAGAAATTCTAAGGTTTCTACTCTTCCATTTCCGTATCAGATGTCAAGTTTGTAATAAGCCACGTGCATCTCCACATAAAAGAAATGTCACACCTCACGAGCTTCATGACAATTTCTTAACACATGCATAGTCAACTCCAGCACTGCCGGGCAATGGTGGCCACAAGGGTCGTTCACCATGTGTCTTTTATTTCTTCGCTCATTAGTCATCAGCCTATTATGCGAAAGTAGCCAAATAAAAATCTTAACCCTCACGCACACAAGCTTCCATGGTGTGCCAGAATATAAAATCGAAATAAAAAAATAATTTTAAAAGAAAAAAAATTAAAATTATATCAATAAAAAAACATTGAAAAAAATTCAAGTGAACTCAGATTAACTTGACTAATCTGCACCAATAATAACCCCACAAAATGAAATGCGGCTAAATTATAAAGTTCAAGAGGTAATAATTTAATGTAATAGAATGAAAGTTAAAAAAAAATTAATTTCATGAAAAAACATCAAGAAAAGAAAAACTAAGTCAACTTAGATTAACTCAAATAACTCGCTATTCGGGATATAAGATTGGGATATTCTCATAAAACAAAGTGCGACAATTCACCAAGCTCTTGTGTGTTTGGATAGAAGATAGCTTCTACTTATTTTGAATAAAACGTATATGTTTATGACTTTTGGAAGTGTGGTTTGTACTTAA